TAGAACCGACGCTCCTTACTTTATCCATGGTGGTTCTTCGCGTCTTACGATATCGTTGATAAAGTCGTCGCGAAACTCTTAGACGGCATCTGAAGGCCAACGACAATTGTCCTAAGATGATATAATTTGGAACAACAGTGGGCACGGAGAAAGCTGAAAACCGTAGGAATGACATTGTTGAGCTTGTCGTCACGAAACTCTTGACGCGCACCTCAAAACCAACGCGCATGGACTGATAACCCCAAGCTTGCTATTCTTAGGGACAGCGACTCTCTTATAAGAGTACCAATTTGATCAGCAGTGGGCACGGAAAGAAGCTGAACATCATAGGAATGGATATTGCATTGTTGAGCTCGCGTTGCCACGTGGGGTCCGTTTTACAACTGCCCTTTGTTATCCCGATCATCGCAAAAGCAACGAGCATTTGCCCTGAGGAAAACATATTCATTCGAACCCGAAGCAATGGTAATCCGACCTAGGAGCCGCCAACGGAGTTGGCGTCGGTAATAAAAGTGCCATTCGATAAAACATTGTTTCCCGTACGTGTTGCGTGCAACGGCGAATTCCGGTATGGTAAGATCGTGATGTGCTTTCGCCACATGCACACATACATATGTACAATGCCACGCGCCCATCTGATATAATGAAGGTCGTGAGTCGCTAGAATAGTGGCCCCGAAGAAACCATGCATCTTATTTGGTGTACTATTCTCTCATTTGGTGCAGAACTGCACGCGGCAAAACAGCACAAACAGACATACCAAACGTACAATGTCATCAAGGTCAAGGTGCGGACCCCTAGCTTGGCAGCGCCACTTGCGCGCGCCATTGGAAGCATGAACGAATCGGACGGCGAGGACAACGATGACCCCATATTAACGAGGCCCTGGGAAAGTAATCTACCCATGTCGAGCCATAACTCTGGCCGCGCCAAACGAGGGATCGACCGCTGCGTGCTTGAATAGTTCTTGAAGGCAGCCTCACACTCAGAGAGCCCAAACACGTGTATGATTTACCCATATGATCCTCTTAACTCATCTCTGCCGCGGCCGAACAGAACAATACACAAGAGACGTAATATCCGCCTCCGCGCCCCCGAGCATGCAGTGGAATGGCGCATTTCGAATGCCTTTAGGCTGAACGTGTGCAACTTGTTACGGCCGCCCGCTCTTCTACTCTCGCCTCGCTGCATAGATCAAGACGAGACTGATGTCATGATATAATGTGTTCAAAATGCGGCTAAGGGATTCCTAACGGTACCTAGCGGCTCTCATTTCTGTGGCTCGTGTGGAGCACTCGGGAGTCTAGGCAAGAGCGACATTTGGTGCGCGGATTTGGGGGCTCAGAGGAGCCAAACCCATTCGCGCACGACGCTAACATCGCATCCCTTTTCGGCGATCGGGGGGTCCTAGTGGGCCCGCACCAAAGGCCACCCTGGCGAAGGGTCACTCTGACGCGCAGTCGAACAAGACACCCAACGTGCCCCCAACTCCCCCCGCAAGAGGCCCCGAGCGGCACCAAGGTGGCCCCGAGGCGGCGCAAGGCCGTCTTGAAACGGGCAGAGACCTGCCCAAGACGGTTCCAAGATAGCCCAGGACTGGCCCGACGCTGGCCCCTAAGACGACTAGTTGCAGACGGCCCAGGCCATCGAACACTGACCTGCCTCCAAAGCCATGGTCCATTCTCGATTACGCTGCGTCCGCGCTCCCAGGGCCTGGATGATCTTTGGAACACTCTGCGGCATCCTCGGTCACAGGGCCACGATCCCTTGTACATAACGGTCCTACCGCACTCCCAGAACCACCTGGGAATCCTGGGGCGCGCAGGCCCGTCAAGCGCTGCAAGGCAAGCGTTTCGCTCAAGACACCCTCAGATATCCAGCACGCCAGGACGCTCCCAGGGAGGGGTCCCTCCAAGAAGCCCGATGGCCACCAGCAAGTCAACGAAGCTTCCCAGGAGACCCCCCAGCAAGCTCTCGGGAGGCCCAAGCACTCCGACGTCAAATTAGGGCTCTCCATCCAAGCCATTCACAGTTCATTGTCACGTGTTGCCGTCTTCTCTCTCCCTGGCCATGCTATGTTATGGACCTCTGCGGCCTGGGGAAGCGAGGCGACACATGTAACGCCATGTGCCGGCCCGGCTTGGATGAAGACGGCGATCGCATGTTACGACCTGCTCCAGACTGCTGACGACCACATCTTGACGACCCAAAAGAATAGGGTTAGGTCGGGCATGTCCTCCTATAGGCGGATTTTGGACGAAACATACAACATAGCCGAACACTATCCAAAAACAAATTACGCTACCGAGGAACCCACATACTTATATTATGGCTGGAGTGATGAGGGCTGAAGTGAAGCATGTGAGAATGATGTTGGTGGCCGTTGCCCCGCCGATACCGCTGTGCCCTGAACGACCGTCACGGATAGCGGCCGCGGTGGGAGACCACCCCCTGCGCACCCCCTTATGGTGTCGACAATATGCCATGCCTGCTGTGCCCTGGACGACCGTCACGGATAGCGGCCGCGGTGAGAGACCACCCCTTGCGCACCCCCTTATGGTGTCGAGAATATGCCATGCCTGCTGTGCCTGGGCGACCGTCACGGATAGCGGCCGCGGTGAGAGACCCCCCCCTGCGCACCCCCTATGGTGTCGAGAATATGCCATGCCTGCTGTGCCATGGGCGACCAACACGGTTAGCGGCCGCGGTGAGAGACCACCCTTGCGCACCCCCCTTGGTGTTTGTTCGAGAATGCCATGGGCTGCTTGAGCATGGACGACCGTCACGGATAGCAAACTCCCCCCGGTGAGAGACCACCACTGCGCACCCTGCGCGCACCCTACGGTGTCGAGAATAGGACATGCCTGCTGTGCCCTGGGACGACACGGTCACGGATAGCGGCCGCGGTCGGAGACCACCCTGGCACACCACTTATGGTGTCGAGAATATGCCATGCTGCTGTGCGCCTGCTGTGCCATGACCGACCGTCACGGATAGCAGCCGCGGACGAGAGACCAACCCGTGCGCCACCCATGGGTCGAGAATATGACATGCTGCTGTGCCCTGACGACGTCACGGATAGAGCCGCGGTGAGAGACCACCCTGCGCACCCCTTGGTATCGAGAAACGCCATGCTGCTGTGCCTGGAACGACCGTCCGGATAGTCGGCCGCGGGAAGAGACCCCCCCCTGGCAAACCTTCTGGTGTCGAGAATATGCCATGCCTGCTATGCCCTGGACGACCGTCACGGATAACGCCGCGGTAAGAAACCACCCCCTGCGCACCCCCTACGGTGTCGAGAATCTGCCATGCCTGCTGTGCCCTGGACGACCCTCACGGATAGCGGCCGCGGTGAGAGACCACCCCCTGCGCACCCCCTCTGGTGTCGAGAATCTGCCATGCCTGCTGTGCCCTGGACGACCGTCACGGATAGCGGCCGCGGTGAGAAACCACCCCCTGCGCACCCCATATGGTGTCGAGAATATGCCATGCCTGCTGTGCCCTGGATGAGCGTCACGGATAGCGGCCGCGGTGAGAGACCACCCCCTGCGCACCCCCTCTGGTATCGAGAATATGCCGTGCCTGCTGTGCCCTGGACGACCGTCACGGATAGCGGCCGCGGTGAGAGACCACCCCCTGCGCACCCCCTCTGGTGTCGAGAATATGCCATGCCTGCTGTGCCCTGGACGACCGTCACGGATAGCGGCCGCGGTGAAAGACCACCCCCTGGGCACACCCTCTGGAGTCGAGAATATGCCATGCCTGCTGTGCAGTGGACGACCGTCACGGATAGCGGCCGCGGTGAGAGACCACCCCCTGCGCACCCCCTACGATGTCGAGAATATGCCATGTCTGCTGTGCAACTGGACGACCCTCACGGATAGCTGCCCCGGTGAGAGACACCACCCTGCGCACCCATACTTGGTGTCGAGAATATGCCATGCCTGCTGTGCCCTGGACGACCGTCACGGATAGCGGCCGCGGTGAGAGACCACCCCTGCGCACCCCCTAGGTGTCGAGAATATGCCATGCCTGCTGTGCCCTGGACGACCGTCACGGATAGCGGCCGCGGTGAGAGACCACCCCCTGCGCACTCCCTATGGTGTCGAGAATATGCCATGCCTGCTGTGCCTTGGACGACCGTCACGGATAGCGGCCGCGGTGAGAGACCACCCCCTGCGCACCCCCTCTGGTGTCGAGAATATGCCCTGCCTGCTGTGCCTTGGACGACCGTCACGGATAGCGGCCGCGGTGAGAAACCACCCCCTGCGCACCCCCTATGGTGTCGAGAATATGCCATGCCTGCTGTGCCCTGGACGACCCTCACGGATTGTGCAGACGTCTTGGGTGTATGATGCAGTGAACATGCGTCTTGTGTGTGCGAGTCTGTGCATGCGTGCGGCTGTATGTAGACGCGTGTCTCATGTACTTGCCGTGCATGTGTTGACCGCGGGTTGAGGAGAGGAAGGAAGAGGAGGAGGGGAGGTGAGGAGACGCGGGTGCGCCGCGGCAGGGAAGAAAACCAGAACCCCACGAAACATGTGGGGAATCAAACATAGTCACAGCATCGTCCCCATACTATTTTCTTTCGCTATTTTGAATATTCCTCCTGTAGAGGGACGAGCTAACCTCAAACATGAGGACGAGACGTGTCACATGTTGCGGCCTTCGGGGCTGAATGCTGAAGTTGCCACCCGGTGGCCGAAGCTGCCACAGGCAAAGTTTTTGCGCAGCCTATGCCCAACACGTGTCAGGTTCGCTAAGGTGCGGCGACTACGAGCGGAGACCATGAGAACCCCCGACGATTCCAAGCACACCGCACAATTCGAATCAAGCGGTCACGGAAGTGACACTACACGGAAGCCGAAGCGTGAGCCTTGCGCAGCTATGTCATGAGTGACGTGTCCCACTAATCAGCGACATGCGGGGCTGGCTGCACATGTTTGGGCCAACAGGCGTCCACGATGAGCACTCGATGCCGAGTATCTCGCCGTGCACTGTCACAGCAGGCCGATCAGCTTCCACCATGGGGCACCGATACCAATCCATAACACAAGATAAAACAGGAAGTAGACAAAGCCGCACTTGTACCACTCTCCTGGGCGGCGGCATGTGCTGCACTTCCCCGAAGGAGCCCCGCGACGGATGCCGCATCGGGCGCGCCAACAGCTGATCTGCGAATGTCAACTCGTGCTACCCGTTGCTCAACAAGAGCACCCCCTCCATGCCACCCAGACCGACTGTCCCCCCCCTGGGCCTCACCCCCTCCGCGCGCTCCGAAACAGCAGCACATCCACGTGATTCACCCCCGCGTGCTTTGCAGAGGACGCCCCCCCCCCCCGCGCGACCTCCCCCGCCTAAACACTTTCTCCTCGGCGGCCTTGTGCTCTGCAACACAGCAGGCGCGGGAGAGGCCGCACGGGTGCGGGCAGGGGCGGAACGAGAGAAGGCGGCGGGAGGGGGGCGGCGGATCAGGCTCCGCCCCCACCACACAAAACACAGTACAACACAACACACCATAGCACAACACTGCACATCACAACACAACACAAGACAACACACCACAACATAATATAACACAGCACACCGCAACACAACGCAAGACAACACAACGCAACACAGCAAACCGCAACGCAAAGCAACACAGCACAGCACAGCACAACACAACACAACACAACACACACACACACACCTACTGCGCAGTGCAAGGTAAGTGCCCGTGGGCCGAGGCCAGGTAACCACAGCAAGCATCATGCCGAGGGGGATCAGGGTCAGAGTCGGCGGCGCGCCGAGGGGGAACAGCCTGTAGACAAAAGCGCACACAAAACAACACACACACAAAGCTCACACAAGCGCACAGCGTCTTTGCTCCACAATGTTTTGTGTGTGGTTTACACACAGTGTGTGCTTTGTGCACGTGTGTTTTCCACAATGGTTGAACAGACAGTGTGTGTTTTGTGTGTATGTGTGTTTTGTGTGTATGTGCGTGGTTGAACATACAGTGTGTCTGTGTTTTGTGTGTGTGTGTGGTTTGTGTGTGTGTGTGTTGTCCATCGTGCTTTTCCAAAGAGAGGGGCAGGCCTCCTCAGAAGGCCGCAGGGCTCCAGAAAAGAATCAGAGGCAGCTGCTCGGCCCTTCCGGGCCTGCTGAGAGGAGGCCCCACTACTACTACTACTACTACTACTACTACTACTGCTGCTACTACTGCTACTACTACTACTACTACTACTACTACTACTGCTGATACTACGACTACTACTACTACTACTCCTACTACTACTACTACTACTACTACTACTACTACCACCACTACCAGTACTACTACTACCATTACTACTACCACGACTACTACTACTACTACTACTACTACTACTACTACGACTACTACTAATGATGATATTACTACTACTACTACTGCTGCTACTACTACTACTACGACTACAGCAACTACTACTACTACTACCACCACTACTACTACTACTACTACTACCAATACTACTACTACTACTACTTACTAAATATACTACTACACTACTACTCAATACTACTACTACTACATACTAATGATACTACTTACTACTAATCTACTAATACTTTTTTTAAAAACTACTACTACTACTACTACTATACGACTACTTAATACTAATACTACTACTACTCTACTACTACTACTACTACGACTGTTACTACGCTACTATTACTTACTCTGCGAATTACTACTATACTACTAATACACTACTTCTACTAGAATATACTATCCAATATACTTAATACGATACTACTCCACTACTACTACTATAACGAGTATTATTGTTAACAGCTTTACTACCTTACTAATAATATTTGACACTACTCTACTGCGCGATACACTACTCATTCCACTACAGACACTGCTACTACGTACTACGTACTACTAATACTACTACTACTACTACTACTACTACTACTACTACTACTACTACTACTACTACTACTACTACTACTACTACTACTACGACTACTACTACTACTACTACTACTACTACTACTACTACTACTACTACTACTACTACTGTACTACTACTACTAATACTACTGCTGCTGCGTACTAACTATACTACTACTTACATATGCTGCTGCTGCGTGCTGCTGCTGCTACGATACTACTACTACTACTACTACTACTACTACTACTACTACTACTACTACTGCTACTACTACTACTACTACTACTACTACTTACTACTACTACTACTACTTACTACTACTACTACTACTACTACTACTACTACTACTACTACTACTACTACTACTACTACTACTACTACTACTACTACTACTACTACTACTACTGATAATACGACTAGTGCTGCTGCTACTACTACTACTATTACTGCGACGACGACTACTACTACTACTACTACTACTACTGCTGCTGCTGCTGCTGCTGCTGCTGCTGCTGCTGCACAACAACATCCAACAAAGACGAAGCACACCAGCGTACCCTGCCCGAGCCGATCGCGATCCTTATACCTCGGTCCGACTGTAATGCGCGTCGTGCCTGTTCTGCGAGGCTGGGGCCAAGGGCCTGTTTCACCAAGAGGCGAACGAGACGCGAACTCCTGTGCTGACGTACCCGCCCCCCATGATGACCGCAGACTGCGCGGAGGCGTACGGCGTCAGGGACATGAACAAATTGGAGGCGAACGCGAGCGTGAACACGGCCGGAAGCGGGGGCGTGCCCTGCACTACCCTCCCTCGTGAAGGGGCCTTCTCCCTCCCCCGTTCTCCCCCCTGAGTTTCCGCCATGACACGCATCTGTTGCGACTCGGTCGAAATGGCCACGTGCCACAATGTGGGCAACAGGGGGGGGGGATCGGCGCATTCGTGCCGCCGTCTTGAAGCGCTCACCGATGTCAGCCTGTTGGAATGGGCCCATACCTTCCCCTGGGCAGCAAAGCCAACTCAATTGCATCGCCCGCTGAGGGGTGTGCCGAAATGGGGCGGCGGTGGTATGCGGACCCTGGCATTTGGGCCTTAGTTGGAGCTCCCTATGTGGCCACGAAGCGTGCGAGAGGTGCGCCGAACTGGGGCGGCGGCGGCGGCATGCGGTCTCCGGCATCTATCTGGGCCTTAGTTGGAGCTCCATGTGGGGCCACGACGCGTGTGAGGAGGGTGCCGACGTGGGGATGCGGAGGGCAGATAAGGCCGGAGGAGGAGGAGGAGGAGGAGGAGGAGGAGGCGGAGGAGGAGGAGGAGGAGGAGGGGAAGGAGGGAGGAGGAGGAGAAGGAGAGAGGAAAGGGGAGGAGGAGGGGGATGGTAGGAGGGGGAGAGGAGGGGGAGGAGGGGGAGGAGGAGGAGGAGGAGGAGGAAGAGGAGGAGGAGGAGGAGGGGAGGAGGAGAGGAGGACGGGGAGGAGGGGCCCCACATGGCCGGCGCAGGTTCTAAAGGCCCATGCCCTTGAAATTCTACGCAGCCACATGCAACGAGCGAAGCAACGAACACACAATGTAGCCAAATCACCTAGGAGGTAGCTCAGACACGTCATCGCGTAGTACCACAGGTAGGCAACTTTCTGGACGCCTGCAAGAATCCTCGATTCCACCGGGTCGCGGTGAAGTAACGATTCCACAGCGACGGCAATGTTCGCGAGAACGCATCTGCGCGCGATAGAGCCCAGCTGTGTGCCCACCCCTGCGTACTTGACCCGCGGCTGGATGCACGCGCTGAGCAGTGAGCTGGCAGCCTTGTTGGGCATGTCGTGGAGGCCCAGCGGGCGACCATCACCTATTTTACGGTAGAGCGACCTGCATCGGGGCCATCTCCGAAGCCGCCCACCACGCCCCTGGGTAATGATACACACAGAGACACCCCGAGGCAGGCCTGCATGGACTTCCCCAAGGTTAGCGAAGGGAGGACATCCATGAGCGCAGGACGCCTCTCTCCTGTCACCTTGAGCGCGGTGAAGACAGCAGCAGATCCCTGGTTCATGGTTGAGAGCGGGGCAGAGCATCACGAGAGCCATCGGCATCTGCATCCCTGCTGACACAGTCGGACCTAGGACAGCAAAACATCCCCCAAGAACACGAGACCCTCCGCCGGCCCAAGGGCCCAAGGGTATCCTCCCCCAGAACGCACAAGAACTTCCAACGAGCCAGGCAAACATCAGGGTACCCTCCCCGAGCCGACCTCGATCTTCTACCTCGGTCCGGCCCTGCACCGACGACCACTCGCCCGAGCGAGAGGAGAGCCCGGCCGCCGCAGCGCGCCCCCGCAGCAGCTGCCGAGCCGACGGCGCCCACGAAGGCCGCCCTGCGACGAAAGGCCCGCGGCAGCGTCGGCCTCGCGGGCCCCGGGCCTCGCAGACAACTTGGGCTCCGCCGCCCGCCCGCGACGACGGCCGAGCCGAGCCGCGCGGCGGGGGCGCCCCGCCCAGCGGCCCCGACGGGGCGCGGCCGGCGGCCAAGGCCTCGCCCCCCACCGCGCCGAGCCGGCGCCGCGCGGCACGGCGCCGCGCGGCCGCGGCCTGGCGCAGGGCTGGGCTTATGTCGGGCGTGTCCCCCTACAAGGGGGATTTTCGACGACAAGTAAAAAAGTGCCCACAAATAATCAAAAAATAATGCAAAAATAATCTGGGGACTATTCTTTGAGTATTTTTTGGCCTTTTGGGGGCATTTCTGGGGTCTTCTTTATTTTTCGTCGAAAATCCCCCTGTAGGGGGACAGGCCCGACATGAGGCTGGGCAGGGGGCGGGCCACGGCTGCAGCAGCGCTCCCGCACGCCGACGCACGGCTGCCGTCAACGCGCGGCCCCACGGCATGGCGGTATTGACGGGCCGACCCTTGCCGTCGGGCTCGGCAGGGAGGACGCCCCGCCCAGCGGTCCCGGTCCCTTTACCTGGCTCGAGCCGGAGCAGGTCGTGATGGCGTAGGATCTGCCCTGGAGCGCGGCACGTCGCGAGGCTGGAACCGCGGCGGAAGGCTGACCACGGTGTCGTCCGCTGGCAGCGGCGAGGCGGGGTCCAGTGCTGCCTGTCGGATCGCTCGTCGAGGTGGGCTCGTCGGAATGCCACGCGCCGTCGGCGCCCCGGGAGCAGGGTGCCCCTCCCCCCGAGCCGGAGCGACGATACCTCGCCATCGCTCGGACGTCCATTCCCTGTGTTTTTTTCGGTTTCGTGCGTGGCTTCTTCGCCAAATTATCAAGGATGCTCCTCGATGGTCCTCGCCGAAGGAAAAATGCACACGTCCGAGCGATGCCAAGATACCGAGGGAGGGCGCGTCAGCATGGGCGGCGGCGGCGGACGTCGGCACGGACGGCGGCCGCAGGGCGCCCGCCCGCAGGGCCAGCGTCGAGGCAGTGGAGGTTCACTGCCCACTGAGAGGAGGTCGGGCGTTGGCGAGACTGGATTCAGTGGGACCTCTGGGCGCGAATTCATCATGAATTCGCGCCCGACGATCCTGGGAAAGCCACTTCTTAGAGATAGGGCCCACGCCTTCTAAGAAGTAGCCTCCCTCTAAGAAGCCCTCCCCCCTCCCCCCAACCCCTTGTGCGCCTCCCCATTAGATGGGGAGGCGATGGATGGGGGCGGGGGAGAAAGATGCCCTTTTCGGGCCCTGAAGGTCCCCTCTTGGGTCCCTAAAGGGCCCCTTCAGGGGCCCTAAAGGGCCGCTTTTCTGCAGCCCTCGCTGCCCCCCCATGTATCGCCCACCCATTCATTCGCGCCCAAGACCTGGTTTACTGATGCGTACCTGAGCACGACACACCACGCCCCGACCCACTCAACGGAACTGCAGCCCCCGAAGAAACACCAGCTGCGGGTCCCAGTCACTGACCAGCTCTCCACAATCGGGGTCCTGGCTACATCCGACAGTGGAGGGGGAAGCCCAGGTCGGGAGGGAGACGGAACATGGAGGCGGGGACGTCCCACCAGCGGGCAGCTCTCGAAGCAGCGGGGGGCGGCCCAGTGGGGGGGGGGGCGCGAGGCGCAGAGGGTGACGAACGAGCAACACACACACCCATACCCGTAGGGGGGTCGTTGAGAGGAGGACTGGCTATGGGTATGGGTGAGGGTTGTCGGACCCTGGGGAACGCTCCCGTTCGAGCGGGGACCCCTATCCGACAACACGCACCCATAGCCCTCTCCGACCCCCCTATGGGTATGGGTGTGTGTTGTTGGTTCGTCAGAGGGGGAAGGGCGTGCAGGCAGCGGGGGACGAGGAGCCCCAGGAGCCCCCTGCCTATCCCTTCGCTTCTTCTCCCGTGTGCTGCCCGCTTGCCTGAGCCCTGACGCGTGGGCTTCTGCGTGCTGGCGTGCTCGGAGGCGTGTCCCTCTGTTAAAGGGGCCCCAGGACACACAAATAAGTACACACAAATCAACATATTCCCCATAGTTTCCCATGTTTTCTGGGTTTCTGTCTTCCCCCCCACTTCCCATATTTTCCCATATTCTCCGGGGAGTCGACGATTCATTGTGTCTGTGTGTTTTTTGTCCCTCCTGATCTGTGTGCGCATGCAGCTTCTAAGGCGTGCGGTCGGGAGGCCACCACGTGCAGTCCAGTGCAGATGACTGGGCCAAGGCACGCTGAAGGACAATGTGCTGGAAGGGCGACTCGTCGCAAGGCACGCGCGGCTACTGTCGTTCCTGCCGCTTCCCAAGTCCCGTCCGTCTGCACCAGCATCAACAGGAACGGCTGAGGCCAATGTTTACCCAAGTGTCGCCAGCCCATGAGACTGCACTGGCCAGCAAGGAATTCAAACTCCCCAGACATCCGACGCCTGGGTTTGTCGATACGCTGCTTTCTGGAACGATCGATCCCATATGTTTTTTTACGGTGTTCGCGCTGTGGGTTGTGTCTGAACCGAGAAAATCCTAAGAGGCCCCAAATAAAAAAAAACAGCCCTTGTGATCAATTCCCCACGCAGCAAACCAGGGAAACGCGTCTTCATCGATCCCCCCTCATCCTTCCCCTTCCCTTTCCTCTTCGCCTTTCCCTTCCCCCACTATTCCAGCCTCATTCGTCTGTCCTCCTCCGTTCTCTCCTCTCTCATCTGTCTCCCCTGTTCGTCCCTCCCTGTTCAGCATAAAAAGCACGCCCTCCTGGAAGAGGGCAGACACGTGCGCCACCTGCGAGGCGAAAGCGTAGTGCACGAGCCAGTACGCGACCACTATGACGAAGAAGGCAGACACGCCGCCCAGACCGGCGGCGGTGATCAGTCCTCGGGGACCGATAGGCCGCGGAGGCGGGCGCGTGTCGGGCCGGCCGGGCGACAGGGGGGGATAGCAAAGGAGGGGTTTGAGAACCAGCTCGCGTAGCCGATTTTTTCCCGGCGCCTCCCGGCGCCCGAGGCGGCCATGCATCGAGGAATGGGGGGCCCGGCGGCGGGGCCGAAACCAGCTGCACGCAGCAAATTTCGTAACCCCCCCTTTCCCCCCTGACCTTCCAGAGTGCTAGAAAAGAGCACTCCAGACCTATAGATCTATCTGAACTGCCTCAAACCTCGACAGGAATTGGGACGTCGCCGCCCTGGTGCTATTTTTTAGCCCTCCTGGAAAGTCAGGGCCTGTGCCCCCCTTTCGTCCGGCCTGAACGTCTGGGCCCCGAGCTGTCGAGAACGGTCCGGCCCGCAGGTGGAGGCGCAAGATTGGTGCAAGAGGCGGGCGGAGAACAGAATCGCTTCCGCTGGAGGCCGTCCTGGAGTGCTCGGGGCTCCGCCGTGGTGGCGAAGCGCGGCGAGAGGGGCAAACGGAAGCCAGAGTCCGAGAATTCTTGACCAGACGCCGGAGCTGAAGTGGAAGGGAGCGGCAGCGGGTATGGGGCCGCCAAGACTCCATTCTAATGGGTTCTATGGAGCTGCCAGGTGAGGAGGAGGAGGAGGAGGAGGAGGAGGAGGAGGAGGAGGAGGAGGAGGAGGAGGAGGAGGAGGAAGCGAAGGACAGGATGCGCGAAGTGGAAAGGACACTGTGAGGTCGAAGCGAGCAACGCGGCGCGGGCCAGGCTGTGGAGGACTCTGGCAGAGGTGGGGGCGGACAGAGAAGCCCCTTTATCGGGTTTAGACCTCCCTTCTCCCTCCTCCTCCCCCTCCTCTTCCCCCCTCCTCTCTATCCTCCTCTCCTCCCCCCTCTCCTCCCCACTCCTGCGCAATTACACGGTCAGGGGACTTCTCGCCGCTCCCCCCGAAGCTGCTGAAAAAAGCAGCCCGGCCCCCTCCGAGTATGGTTTTGTACACACACATGATGTGCGCTAGCTGTGTTCGGTTGCGCGTTTTCCAATATGGATTGCGTCCGTCCTTCCAGGGAGGCGATCTCGCTCCATCTTTTAAGCCATTTCCACACATCTCGCTCTTCCAGAGCGGCGCTCCTCAACGACCCGCCAAAACGAGCACCCCCAAGACTTCCCAAATGAACACCCTCAAAGACCCCGTGAACACGAGCACCCCAAAGTATTTGCTAAATCGAGCACCACCGAATATCCGCCAAAACGAGTACCCCCCAAAGTTCCGCCACAGCGAGCATCCCCTAAGGTCCAGCAGTCGAACATCTTCGAATGATCCGCCAAAGCGGGCACATCCTAAGGAGCTGCTGCACAACTCACCGTGAACCAACTGAATCAATAAAATTATGCTAACGGAGTTCCCCACATAAAGATGTTACGGGGTTCCATTGCTTCTTGTCTGCGCTCTGGTGGGGCCTCCCTGGAGGGGTGGGAGGGGCGCGAAACCTGATGAATAATATGGTGTGCGAATACCCTGCCCGCTCAGGCGGGGCCTCCCTGGAGGGGTGGGAGGGGCACGAAACCTGATAAATAACAGGTGATGCGAATACCCTCCTCGCTCAGGCGGGGCCTCCCTGGAGGGGTGGGAGGGGTGGGGCACGACAACTGATAAATATAACATGGTGTGCGAATACCCGCCCGCTCGGTGGGGCCTCCCTGGGAGGGGTGGGAGGGGCGCGAAACCTATGATAAAATATGGCGCGCCGAATACCCTTGCCCGCTCTTTGGCGGGGGCCTCCCTGGAGCGGTGGGAGGGGCACGAAACCTGATAAATAATATGGTTTGCGAATACTGTCCTCGCTCTGGCGGGGCCTCCCTGGAGGGGTGGGAGGGGCGCGAAACCTAATAAATAATATGGTTTGCGAATACTGTCCTCGCTCAGGCGGGGCCTCCCTGGAGCGGTGGGAGGGGCACGAAACCTGATAAATACTATGGTTTGCGAATACTGTCCTCGCTCAGGCGGGGCCTCCCTGGAGCGGTGGGTGCGGGGCACGAAACCTGATAAATAATATGGTGTGCGAATACCCTGCCCGCTCTGGTGGGGCCTCCCTGGAGGGGTGGGAGGGGCACGAAACCAAATACATAACATGGTGTGCGAATACCCTGCTCGCTCAGGCGGGGCCTCCCTGGAGGGGTGGAAGGGGCACGAAACCTGATAAATAACATGGTGTGCGAATACCTTGCTTGCTCAGGCTGGGCCTCCCTGGAGGGGTGGGAGAGGCACGAAATCTTACAAATAACATGGTGTGCGAATGCCCTGCTCGCTCAGGTGGGGCCTCCCTGGAGGGGTGGGATGGGCAAGATACCTTATACATAACATGGTGTGCGAACACCCTTTCCCGCTCCGGTGGGGCTCCCAGGAGGGGTGGGATTGGCATTAGGGAACGAAACCTGATAAATAACATGGTGTGCGAATACCCTGCTCGCTCAGGCGGGGCCTCCCTGGAGGGATGGGTGGGGCAGGACACCTGATAAATATCATGGTGTGCGAATGCCCTGCTCGCTCTGGCGGGGCCTCCCTGGAGGGGTGGGAGGGGGACCAAACCTGATAACTAACATGGTGTGCGAATACCCTGCTCGCTCAGGCGGGGCCTCCCTGGAGAGGTGGGAGGGGCACGAAACCTGATACATAATATGGTGTGCGAATACCCTGCTCGCTCAGGCGGGGCCCCCCTGGAGGGGTGGGAAGGGGCACGAAACCTGATAAATAACATGGTGTGCGAATACCCTGCTCGCTCAGGCGGGGCCCCTCTGGAGGGGTGGGAGGGGCACGAAACCTGATAAATAACACGGTGTGCGAATACCCTGCTCGCTCAGGCGGGGCCTCCCTGGAGGGGCGGGAGGGGCGCGAAACCTGATAAATAACATGGTGTGCGAATACCCTGCTCGCTCAGGCGGGGCCTCCCTGGAGGGGTGGGAGGGGCACGAAACCTCATAAATAACATGGTGTGAGGAAAGGCATGGTATGGTATGGGATGGTGGATGCATGGTATGGTATGGTAAGGTATTGTATGGAGTGGCATGGTATTGGTATGGTATGATACAGTATGGGAAGGTGGAGGAAGCGGGAGGAGGAGGAGGAGGAGGAGGAGGAGGAGGAGGAGACGACCCGCTATTTTTACGAGAGCCAGGGAGCGCGGGAGGGTCACCCCGCGCGGGTCACACTTGAGTGGGCAGCTCCAGCTGGCCCAGGCTGCACCCAGACGACTCACTTACCATCGAACGAACCCGGTGCCGTGCCAAGGCATGCGCTGCGGCGTTGTGTTATGTGCTGCTCTCCGATGCCACGCTTTGCTTTCCAATTCTTTGTGGCGTACTGATTCACCACGCAATGTCACGCCATGCTCTGATATGCTACTCTCCGTCGTGCTGTTCTATGCCATGCTATGCCATGGCCTACCATGCATCGCATACGTTCTCGGAATCTTTGTCCTGCTCGATATCCGACTACACGAATAGAGAGGATATCTACGCCATGGTACGGGATGGGAGGGAGGGGCAGGACCTCAGATGTGACGCGAGCGCACCCAGCTTGTCCCCTCTCCTCTCTCCTCTCTCCTCCCTCCCCCCTTCTCCCTCCCTCCCTCCTTTCTCTCCTTCCTCCTCCTCCCCCCTCCTCTCCTGGACGTGGGTGGCCACCAGGACCCCGCTCCGGGCGCCAACGACCCGAGAGAAGGCCCGCGGGGGTCTGGCGACGAGTCGCGGACTGCGCCCCCCGGCGGGCTAGTGCCGCCGCCACAACCCGATGGGCTGGACAGTGTTGCCGCAGACCCAGGCCTTCTCCTCCTCCTCCTCCTCCTCCTCCTCCTCCTCCTCCTCCTCCTCCTCCTCCTCCTCCTCCTGCCGCCGCTACAACCCGATGGGCTGGACCGTGTTGCCGCAGACCCAGGCCTTCGACGCAGCGCGCTCTTCCATCAGGCCGCTACCTCGCCCCACCAGGGTACGGGGCCTCACGGCCTCAGCACCACCCGCCTGGTGAAGGCACCCGAGCGACTCCAGCACAGTCCACCGATCTGAGTCATGCCACGCTGCGCCTCACGGTCGCCAGTCAATCAGCCGACCCCGATCGCGGGACTGCTCTCACGATCAGCACTACGACGCTGCATGAATGTGCTACCTGTCTAGTCCAAATCCTGCGTAGCACCCAGGAACAGCCAGGACCCCGTCTTGACTGAATCCAAAGAGCACGGACCGCCTGGAATGACAGTCATAAGGCCTTCCGATCGCCTGCTCAACTTGGGGCATCTTCCCAGGCAAGCCACCAGGCGTGCCTAGATGCTGACTGCTAGCGCACCAGTGCTAGCATCTCCATGTTCTGAATACGTTGCGAAAACAGCTGGCAACTTTCCCGTAGCTCTAGTACTGGGCCGCTGCGGGGGATGCCTCAAGCGGCGCGGTGGTTCCCTGAAGTACCGAGGCGCGCATGTCAACGCGCACTTGCAACCGTCGACTGTTTTTGTTCGGGTGTGCAAGCCTAAGCGCGTTCAGCCGGGGAAGACTGACCGCGACAAGGAGAAGGTGGCTACCCACCCCTGTTCGTAATGTGGCGCCTCTCGCTTTGTGAGGCAGGCCCGCGCGGGCCTAATAGCCAGCGGGGCTGGACGAACTACTGTCCGAAACGGTGCGATCTCCTATCTCCTCTACTCCCTCTCCTCTCTCTCCTCTTCTCCTCTACTCCCTCCTCCCTCCCGCCCTCCCTCCTCTCCTCCCTCCTCTCTTTCCTCCTCTCCTCCCTCCTCTCTTTCCTCCTCTCCCCCCTCCTCCTTCATCCTTCTTCTCCCGCGACGGAGATGGAGCGGAGCCGCTCGGAGGTGGAGGCGCAGCCGGCGTCCAGTGATCGTCGTGGCCAGCCAGCTGACTATCCCCAGGTTGTTCAACATCGATGCCAGGCTGACCAGGAGCGCAAAGTTCACGAACGTGGACCAAGCAGCCTGAAGTACACACATGGGTATCCATACCTCTACAGGTGTGTATACACACACACACACATATATATATATATATATATATATATATATATATATTCCTCTTCCTATATTTTTAATAAGCCGGGGGGCGGGGGGGGGGCAAAAAAACCCATCATCCCCACCCCACCAAAAAAAACGGACTCCGGGACCTGGGGCTTTGGGGGCCCTCCGGACGGCCTCGAAAGCGGCCACCGGGGCTCGCAGGGCGTTTTTGCCAAGCCTTCCCAGGTCACCTTACTTTTTGTTAAAATTGGGAAGAGGGGTTATCCTGGGGATTGTCCAAGGGGGTGTCCGGGTCATCCCGGGGGAAAAAAAATCGGGGGGGGGGCCCAGAGACCCAAGACTGCACAATGAGCGGATCCAAGAGTGACCGGACGTGACCTCATGATGGCCCAAGAGGCCTCCAGGACGGCCCCAATGACGGCCTCCATTAGCACTCCCAAGAAGGTTCTTCGAATCAAAAATTCATTGATTTTTTGCGGGATTTTGGTGGTGAATGTTGGGGGTCTCCTCTTTGCGGCTTCCCCGAAGGTCCCACGACGGCGGTCTTCTGGGCGTCCCGAAGCCGCCTGGGAGGCTCCCAAATCGCCCCATAACCATCCGAAAGGGCTTCCAGGCAGTCCAAGAGAGCCCCAAAACGGCTCAACACGGGTCCAAGATGGCCCTCAGAGAGCCCCATGGCGGCCCAAGATGGCCCAAAGACACCCTCCGAAGAATTCCAAATCGTGATTCGGTCGTTCAGGGAGACGGCGGTTGGAGGCAAGGTGGCCCGAGGAAACCCCCGGAGGCCCCCAGAATACGCCCAGGAGGCCTCCAGAAGGCCTTAAGAAAGCCCGAAACAACTTTTGTGAGGCCCCTAGAGGCTCTCCAAGGAGGAGCCTCCGCAAAAAAGAGCTGAGAAGGACGGGGAGAATGCGCCGGGCATGGCGAAAATGAGGAACAATAAGCATGGAGGAAGGATAACGAATAACATTATTATAGCGGCGATGCCGGAAAAGGCAACCAGGAGTTATCGCTAAATTGTCGGCTTGACCTTCCTGCCATTCCGCCTGCATTCCAAACTTCAAGGACCAAGGTGCATGGCGCGAAGCGCTACTGTAGTCTTGTATATATATATATGTTTATATACACATGTGCACACACGTGTGCATACATATACATATATATATATACATATCGACATATGGACCTACATTTACATACTAGAACCATCGCGCGCGCTTCGCGCGCCGCCAGGTTCTAGCGCAGGCCACGGGGTCGCTGGAAGAGCTTGGACAGCGCTTTCATGCACAAGCGCGTGACATAATCAGACGCATCCTCACCACCATTATCCTTCCCGCCCCCTACCGTCACACTCCCCCTAATCGGCATACCCATCATCACCTGACTGATAAGCATGATCAGCATCATCATCATCATCATCATCATCATCATCATCATCCTCATCATCAGCATCAGCATCAGCATCAGCATCACCATCATCATCATCATCATCAGCATCATCATCGTCTTCATCTTCATCATCATCTTCACCATCATCATCATCACCATCAACATCGCCATCATCATCGTCATCGTCGTCATCACCATCATCACCATCATTATCAGCTCCATCATCATCAACAGCAGCGGCAACATCATGGGGAACGTCCTTGGCCAAGTGCTGCTAGCCATGCCGTCGCGTCAAACTCGCATACCATCATCAGTATTGTCCTCATCATCATCATCATCCGAATCCTCCTCATCCACATCGTCATCCTTATCCGCATCCTCATCCTCATCCTCATCGTCACCAGCATCCACATCCTCATCATGATCGTCAGCATCAGCATCATCAGCAGCAGCATCACCATCATCATAATCATCACCACCACCACCACATTCCTCATCATCCTCATCCTCATCCTCATACTCATCATCATCGTCATCATCAACATCATCATCACAAGCATCATTGTCATCATCCGCATCCTCCTCATCATCAGGATCCTCATCCTCATCGTCATCATCCTCATCATCAGCAGCAGCATCAATATCATCATCATCATCTTAATCATCATCACCATCATCACTAATCGTTGTCGTCACCATCATCATCAACATCATCAACACAATCGTCAACATCAGCATCAGCAACAGCATCAGCATCATCACCATAAACATCACCATCACCATCACCATCACCCTCATCATTACCATCCACATCATCAGCAGCATCAGCCATAACATCAACATCCTTATCACGTTCCGGATCATATTCGTCGTTATTCCCAGCAAGACCGACAGACAGGCCCGGACGACGGGCGGCGACGAGGCGGCGACGGTGACAACATTGCTGCCAGGCCGACAGACAGGTTTAGTTTCTCAGAAGAGAAGTGAGAACCTCTAAGTGCAAGCTCTGATTGGGGGATGAACATGAGCCAGAAACATCGCGCGCGTTTTTCCCGCGCTCTGGTTCGCGGCACCCAAGAAGGACCGTGCCCGAGGAAATGGGAATCATGGTTTCGAAGCCAGCGACTTCATTGCCGAATGCATGATTCGGGTTAGTCCTTGACTTTCGGCGGCGAGCGCGGGGGGGGAAGTGAGAAGGAGAAGGCCTTCTCAGAAGGCGGCGGGGCTTCTCAGAAGCCCTCGCGACCTCTGAAACCATGTCATGTGCCTTCGGGGCAGGCGCAGAAGGCTTCTCAGAAGGCTGGGGGACTTCCGAGCCTTCCGAGAAGGCCTTCTCCTGCTCACTTCCCCCCACGCCCGCCGCCGACACTTCGGGCGAGGGGAGCACAACCGCCGACGCCGACGCCGACGCCGACGCCGACGCCGACGCCGACGCCGACGCCGACGCCGGCGCCGACGCCGACGCCGACGCCGACGCCGACGCCGACGACGCCGACGCCGACGCCGACGACGACGACGACGACGACGACGACGACGACGACGACGACGACGACGACGACGACGACGACGACGACGACGACGACGACCGCCTCGATTCGATCGGCAACTTGGCCGCATAGGCCTCCCGCGCTGCCGCCCCTCCCCGCCTCCGCGCTGTCCCCCCCCCCGCCCAGCCAGGGCCGAGGCGGGGGAGCGACCGAGGGAGGAAGAGCGGGGGAGGCGGTGCAGCGAGGGAGGAGGAGGAGGAGGAGGAGGAGGAGGAGGAGGAGGAGGAGGGAGAGGAGAGGTGGAGGGGTGGGGGAGGAAGTGGTGAGCTGATGGGGGTGCAGGAGGTGCCGCGGGGGAAGCAGGGGGGAGGGAGGATGGGGCGCGGGAAAGGAGGGGGAGAGGGAGAGGGGCGAGGGAGGACGGGGCGCGGAGGAGGGGCGAGGGAGGAAGGGCGAGGGAGGAAGAGCAGGGAGGAGGGGCGAGGGAGGAAGGGGCGAGGGAGGAGGGGCGAGGGAGAAGGGGCGAGGAGGGCCGAGGGAGGAAGGGGCGAGGGAGGAAGGGGCGAGGGAGGAGGAGGGGTGAGGAGGGCCGGAGGGAGGAGGGGCGAGGGAGGAAGAGCAGGGAGGCGAAGCAGACAGTCATCGCAGCCAGGGCCTCTCCCTCCGAGCTGCGAGGCGCAGCAGGCCCGGCAGGCAGAGGGGGAAGGGGGAGGAGGACAACGAGCAGGGAGCGCATGAGGGGACGCGCCGAGTCAGGGTGCGGGACGGGGAACAGCGATAGGGGAAAGGAGAGAAGCGCACAATCTCTCACATGACGAATGGAGAACACGTGAGGGCCATGACAAGGAAAGAGGGGGGAGGAGAGGCGAGGCAGGGTAAGAATACGCATGAGGACACTGCGGAAAGATGACGAGGAACATGAGGAGGAGGAGGTGGAGGAGGAGGAGGAGGAGGAGGAGAAGGATGTGGATCATGCGGATGCGGAGAATGATGAGGAGGATGCGAGCTCGAACACCACCATCGCGTCTTGGGGCTGGGGGCTCCTGCGGGCCCTCTTCTCGCCTCTTGGGGCCTGCGTGGGATACCTCTGCAGCTTGTGAGGCTCTCTCGGGCTCTCGCGGGGGAGACCTGTCGGGAAATCTGGGGGCGCACTGGAACCGCCTGGAGGGACCTTGGACCCCGCCTGACATCGGGGATCTGCTGACCCGGGTCACTCCAGACCCGGGCCAGTCAGGCCCTGCAGGATCCTGCAAGACCCTGCGGGATCCCGCAGGATCCCAGGACGAGGAGGAGGATAGGACGAGGAGGAGGAGGAGGAGGAGGAGAAGGAGGAGGAGAGGAGGAGGAGGAGGAGGAGGAGGAGGAGGAGGGGAGGTAGGACAGGAGGAGGAGGAGGAGGAGGAGGAGGGGAAGGAGGAGGAGATGGTGGAGGGGGAGGAGGAGGAGGAGGAGGTGCACCCCTGGCCCTGCAGGATCGTGCAGGACCCCCCGGCTCTCTGACTGGCCCCCGTCTGCCCCGACCCCCGTCTCTTGAGCCCCCTGTGCGCACGGGGGGGCAGGTCGAGGCTCCCGGGGCAGGGGACGGGGCCCTCCCGTGTAAGGGGAACCTCTCTCGGCACCCCCAGGGGGCCCCGGGCGCAGCGTTCGCGCCCGCAGGGCAGGGGGAAAGACGAGGGAGCGCGCCGCGGCCCAGGAGGAGGAGGAGGAGGAGGAGGAGGAGGAGGAGGAGGAGGAGGAGGAGGAGGAGGAGGAGGAGGAGGAGGAGGAGGAGGAGGGGCCCCAGTCTCGCCCTCGCTCGGGCGTCCGTTCCTCGCGCAGCTCGTCGGCTCCGTGCGCGTCCTTGCTTCCCCAGCCCTCCTGTGGTGTTGGGTCCTCGTTTTGAAGAGACAGCGCCCCGCGTCTCCTTCTCCTCCCGCTGCCCCCCCTCCATCCTCCCCTTCTTTGCCTCTGCCCTCCGCATGTCTACGTTTCGGCACACCCCTCACGCGTTCCGTGACCCCATGGGAAGCCCCACCTAAGGTCTCAGTGGCGGAACTCGCATGGCATCCCCGCCCCATTTTGGCACACCCCTCACACGTTTCGTGG